TTTGGTGGGCCCTCTTGTTGGATCTGGATCTGTTTTGAGCAGAGTTTCCCACTCCACAAACAGAATTCCCCTCTAGTTCCCGCAGGTTAACAGTTTTTCGGGCAGTCCTTCGCGATGCTGAAATGCAACTGGGGCAATTTTGGTGGGCCTTCTTGTTGGATCTGGATCTATTTTGACCAGAGTTTCGCACTCCACAAACAGAATTTCCCCCCAGTTCCCGCAGGTTAACAGTTGTTCGGGCAGTCGTTCGCGATGCTGAAGCGCAACTGGGGAGAGTTTAGTAGGCCTTCTTGTTGGATCTGGATCTGTTTCGAGCAGAGTTTCGCACTCCACAAACATAATTCCCCTCCAGTTCTCGCAGGTTAACAGTTGTTCCGTCAGTCGTTCGCGATGCTGAAACGCAACTGGGGCAAGTGTGGTGGGCCTTGTGCTTGGGGCTAGGGGTCAGAGAGGCTGAGTCTGGCGGTCTCACGCCGTTATCCGTCTATGATGTTGCCCGGCGAATTCATCAAGTTCGTCGGCATCCGAACTTTGCATGAATGCTGAAGACGGATCTCAACAAGTGCGGATACCGGCGGACTAGGTCTGCGTGAACAGGGTGTGAAGAACTGCCGGCGATTTCGTTTAGTTCGCCCGTCTCCGGATTTTGCACAAGTCTGAGCATGACTTGAAGAAGTGTGGATGTCGGCGAACTTGTCGTGTGTTCATGTAGTCCATTGTCATGTTCGTGCACTGTTGGTACACATTCGGTGTGCCTTCTTGTTGGATCGGGGCTTGTGAACTGCAAAGTCCAGCAGTCAACAAACCGTCTCACTGTTAGTGACTATCTTTCTCATCGCATCTCGTTATCAGCCCTTGCCAATTGCTTGCAAATTTGTTCAGTTCGCCGAGATACGAACTTCGTACAGATGTCTCTTTTCTGTGTTGATTTGGGTGCCGATACCGTTGATGTGCTATTGTGGTGCGTGGCATGTGGGTCTGTGGAAAACGAAACTCCGTACTGGGTGGGTAATTTTTGTCTTCCTTGTGTTGGGTTGTTTTGGTATCTTGGACCGATGCAGACACAATGTCGACGTCAAGGGGCGAGGAGCAGCCGACCAGTACCTTAGGGAGGGAATCACAAACCTCCAAATCATGGTCCTATCATGTGCATACCAAATGGTTTGTCGATTGGTGTTGTGGGGATGAGTCCCAACCGACCAAACCTCTATGCGGTCATGTTATATTCCTCGAAGACAAAAAAAGGCGTAGAGTTCTTGGGGCGGTGGCCGAATGGCACCCTGCTAAAAAGGAAAACACGCAACATTATAAGCTGCATACTGTTTACAGTTCGAAGGGCGATGTTGTTGCCAATTCCAAAGGGGTGGTTTTGTCGTTTGACCTGTTCCAGGGGTTTGGGGCGGGGGCTGTGAAGACCCCTTTCTACCAAGATCTTGCAGTAGGAGGTGTTGTTTCGGCACAAGAGTTTTTTGACTTGGTGGAGCAGAGGAACATGGAGGATCCCCGCAACGTTCAAGGCGACCAACAGTTGTCGCTGCCTCTCCAGATGTGCACCGGGTTCAAATCCAGCAGTGCTCCCACAGACGGGGGAGATTTAGGTTACGGTCCTTCTTCGCAACTCCGTCGGGGCGAGGCCCGCGGTCACTTCGACAACAGCGACGACGAAGAACAGGAGAAGACACGGCCTTTGCCGCTTAGGCGGGGAGACCGGTCTGTCCTGAGTATTCCTGGGGTGGAAGGACACACCCCGGTTCGTAACCGGTCGTCGACGTCAGCCGGGGGGGAAGAGGAGGGTGTAGAACAGTCTGCGCATAAGAGGAGGGGAGGTTCTCAGGAAGAGGGTGCGGGTTCTGCAAAGAAACATAAGGCAAGGACCCCCCAGACGACGGGGGTGGAAAGGAAGGGAGTTGAGGGGCAGGAGGGCACATCGGATCGGAAACGCCCGACGTCGGTGCAGAAACAACCTCAACCGGGTGCTCTCGAGGCGAAGGGTCCCATCGACGTCGACTCCAAGTACTACCTGGAATGGAAAAACGGTGTGCGGACAAAGCGGGAGTTCTTCATTAGCCCATCGTGGGTCGTTGACATCGGTGACTGGGAACCATCGTACAACCAACAGTCATTGGATCCCGTGCACACACAGATTATCATTGACACGATGATGATGGCGTTCTCGCAAGCCGAGAAGACGTACAAGTTGCCTACCCTCAAGCTGGCGCCACTGGGGCCGGAAAAACCAAAGCCGAACGTGCGGGCGGATCGTCTGAAGCCAGAGGACACGAAGGACGAGCTCGCAGACCAATACGATTATTACGCTGTTTTCGACCAGCACAACGCAGCTGCAGCCAAGGTGCTGCTCGGCACGGACGTCGCATTGAGGTACCACTTCGACAGGTAGCCTGCACATTTGGTTTACTTGTATTTTCTGGTCAGCTCGGAGGACAACAAGAAGGGCTTGAAGGTGCCTCCAAGACAACTGAAACTATCAATGAAGGACATTTGGTGGTTGTTGAAAGAAAAAGGTTTCCCAAAGGTTGTTATGGGGAACCTTAGTGGAAAACAAGCTCAGGTGCAGACATGGAGTGAGTTCTGTTCGCAGGCACTTCACAAAATGCCTTACTACCACTTGTGGATTCTCGCTGATGAGAAGGGCGATCGAGGGGTTCTTCACCTAGACGATCCGCACCTTCTTCATTGCCCGATTCCGAATGCAGGCAGGTAACTCACATGCCATAATACCATCGCTCACTAATTTCCTTAACTCCACTAATCTAATACGGTCATCAAACTTCACGCGAATGATGAGATCGGCAGACAAACTAAAACCAGACTTATCACGGACCACTCGAGATATCAACCGCCTGAGGTATTTCCGAGTAGATTTCTTACCGAAATCTTTGATCACATTGTATAGCTTCATGAGCGATTTCAGCCCCCATCTATAGACATCAGAAATCTTTCTCGGATTCCTCAAGATACCGACCAGGATAGCTTTTAGGATTCTAGCCTTCGGCTTCCACTTCCGCAAATGCACAAACTCGAAGGTACCCCCGTCTTCAAAGCGCTTCTTTCCGGTTTTGAGTAGAAAATTGGTCTTACCTTCCCTTATCGTCGATTCTCCAAAACACTTCCTTAACTTCTTCCAACCTCCCACCCACGTATTACCACCTTTCGTCTTACAGGTCAACTGCTGTTGAACACCCGCCGATTTCGTGGAGAGAGACTCCGCCAAGTTCAATACCGGGTGCGCGTCGTCAACAAAAAGGAAGGATAGCGGATGTATCGCACGTTCGTTACCCAACCCCGACTTCCGTTCCTTCCTCCCCTTGCGGTTCTTCTTCCTCCCTTTACTACTTTTAACAACCCCGATACTGTTCAAAAACGGTGACCATTGTCTAATATAGACATTCTCAAGAGCTAAGAGGTCTTTTTCGACGGAATGGTCGACAGGAATCCGTACATAGTTCCCGGGTCCAAAGGCACATAGCCATCGCTGGAAATGAGAGCGGTTACCGCCTCGGCACTTATATAAGTGCTCGCGCCACCGTACATCGACATTACGCGTGGTCTTCCCTACATACTGATGTTTACAGAAAGGAGAGACTGCGATATAGATTACGTTCTTCAACATAAGAAACTCAGTGTCGTAAATATCACAAAGATGTCTTGAAGAATCGACTAGCTTACCGTTCCATCTGATCTCCTTCCTACAACTCAGTACGAGGACACATAGTCTTATCAGTTCCTCAGCTTCACGGTCGATAGTATCCAACCTACCTCGATATTTCGTCACAAAATCAATTATCTGCCATATCTCGTCTGATCTGTAGTCGCATCAAGCGTCATTCTCTTCCTCGTCGCCTTCAACGGTTGCTGCTTCGTCTTCGACCAACTCCGTAGCACTGGATACCTCGATCGCCTCGATCTCACCGAAGTGAAGGCGAGTACGGTGACTGGCGACATCAAATATCGCATCAATCTTCCCGACATAGGCCACCCGCTCATCCTTGCAAATTCCTTGTAGTTCCAACGCATCCAGTGAACGTAACTCTTCCATCTGCTGGTTACGATATCGTCGTTTCTCAACAGTGCTCGGCTGCCCTAGTGTCTTCTTGAACTTATCAATTAACGGTGAGAGTTTCGTCTTCAGCTTGGCTTTAGAGCGGGTAACTCGACCCGGAGTGTTGGCGTCCTTCTTCTTCAGCTCCAATCGTCGCGGAGTTCGCTTGGTTAGGGTGACCATAGGTGGACTGTCTTCAAGCACCACCTCTGGTCCCCTTTTCCTTTTCTCATGAATCGTCAACTTCTTGGTTCTTGCTCGAATGTCCTCTATGCCACTTTCGTAACTCTCATTGCTGGAGTCAGAGGGTACATGCACTTGTTGTTTTACTGGTTTGACTTTCTGAGCGAACTCCAACGCTGGGCCAAAGTTAGCCTCCATACGATTAAAAAAGTCGCCTGTCTTGATCGCCAACTGGAGTCCCAACTTCTTATCGATCTCTGCGGCACGTTGCGCTTCCCTCATCTGCTTCTCGATGCGCTTCTGTTCCTTCTTCTCGCGAGCCTTCTGCTCCGCCTTCAGTCTCTCAGCTTCTTCCTCGGCTTCAATGCGTACACGTTCGTCTTCGGCCTTCTTTGCCTTTTCGGCCATAACGAACTCTGACACCGACGCCAGGCTCTTGTTCAGTTCCTCAATCTCACGACGCAGATCTCCTGGTGCCTCAGTTCCAGCTGCCAACGCTTTCCTCGGGGACGCCGATCGACCCCGACTTACGTTGTAAGAGGTAGACGCCCTCGCCTCCGGGGCCCGCCAGCGGTTAGGGCACTGGTTAGCATAGTGCCCCTGCTCATTACAATTGAAACATCGCGGTGGAGAGCGTCGGTGATGCCGATCGCCGCCCGCGTCTTGCCTTCGGTCAAAACCATGTCGGCTGACTCTGTCCTCACTACCAGATCTCCTGCCTCGGTCGTAGTCGCGCCGATCTCCCATCGTCACCCAACCACACTCGTCACCAAAACTCGTGTCCAATACGTAATCCACACTCACAGAGTGCAACAAAGTACTAATATCATAATTAGAAACAACACACTCACTATTCTCTGTAATTTCATCCCAAGAAAGTTAGCGTGTGCTTTCGTAGATGATAGGTAAAGAACATGGAAAAACACATGTAGTCAAAGAAAGCTCAAAAGAGACACTTCAAAGACGAAGATAGTCATCTCAGTCTGAAAATTGAAAAAATTACACACTGTCGTGAGAGAACGGCGTCCCCGACGCACGTTTTAGCAGCTGCCAGGCTGCCTCCTCAGGGGGTTTCCCTCCAGTCGTCACCCGAAACTATCCCGCTCACCGACTTACCCACTTCCGTAACCATCGCTACACGACATACCGGATGTCGCGCAGCTCTAGCTGCGTTAGTCCCGTCACAAAGGTCGACAGTCCTATCAGTCATCCTATTTATCACATACCACAACACCAAACATCACCAAACTTCTACGCACATTGAGACCTATCAGCTCAGTCAAACAAAACAGGCGTCCTTGCCCTACGGGCCACAAAAGGCCTGGCCACGGAAAACAAGGCAAGAAATCGATTTTACCACCATCCTAATAATCGTTGGTCTGAAGGTTCCAAGACCCAGGACCCACCTGGTCCAATCTGGACAGCCCTCTACCGATCCAAGCTTATACCGCACCAATTCGGACAGCAGAAGGCGTTCAAACATATAACCCAAAACAAAGGTCCGTACAACCCTGTCCGTACAATCCTGTCTGTCTAGGGAGATGTCTGTGTGTGTTTCCCCCGGGAAAAATTTTCGGGCTGAAACACACACAGATGCACTTTCTACACACACAGACATCGCCCATGGAAAAAGTAGAGATGCACTCTCTACAGACACAGACATCTCCCAGGAAAAAAATAGAGATGCACTCTCTACACACACAGACACTCTCATCACACAGAGACAAGGAGATGTCTATGTGTGTACAGAGTGCATCTGTGTGTGCGTTTTTGCTCTGAACAACCTGTGTTTGTGTGTGTAGAGAGTGCAGTTGTGTGTGTTTTTCCCTAGGGAAACAGACAGAGATGTCGAGAAGGATCACCATCACACCTCCCCCACGGTATCTGATTTTTTTTTTTTTTTTTTTTGCTCAGAACAGCCTGAAAGCTTTTTTGGGGGTTCCCCTAGTGGTGCGCAGACCCCCCCCCGGTTTGTTTTTTTTTTTTTTCGTTTTTTCTTTTGGCAAAAAAACAGTTGTCCGATTTTCAAGACAACTCCCCCCTGACCGTCTCCCGGAGACGTCCGGGGGAGACGTCTCCCCATCGGACAGCTGGTAACGTAGGTTTTTATTTTATATTTTATTTTTGTTTGTAGTTATTATTATACATATTTATATCTAAATATATATGAGCAATTTTTTAATTATGTGATGATTTTATAACTTTTTTGCCAGATTTTATTAATGTGTGTGCAATCTTATACGCTGTGTAGCACACCGAACATGTTCGGAGCTTTTTCGAACGTCCGAACATGTTCGGGTGTTCGACCGAACGCCACCCGAACGTGTTCGGCCGAACATATTAAAAAAAAAAAAAAAAAAAAAAGAACTTTTTTGTTTGGTCTTTTATTTTTAACTCGATTTTTGTTACGAATTTGAACAAACCTCCAAGGCAAAAGTTGTTTGTATTATTATTTTACATAACATATTTTGTTCAAATTTTCAGGATAACTTTTTTTTTTTTTTTTTTTTTTTTTTTTTTTTCGCGTTTGGAGAGTTTCGGCGCTCGTTCGCGTTCGATGCCGAACGTTCGGGTTCGGTCACCGAACCCGAACACGATGCTACACCGCTTATACGTATTTTATTATTATTTTTATTTTTTACTGTTTTTTCGTCTTTCAGTGAGTGATATTCCAGTGGGCGAATTTTCAACAATTTTTAATTTTACAGTTTATGGTTTGTATCTTTTAATATACGAGTTATGAGGGTAAGTGTGTATGTATACGTGAGTGTGTGTGTGTATATGTGTGTGCGCGTGCGTGTGTGTGCTTGTGTGTATGTGTGAAAGTGAGAGAGCTTGAAGAGAGTATGTGTGTGTGTGTGTGTGTGTGTGTGTGTATGTGTGTGTGTGTGTGTGTGTGTGTGTGTGTGTGTGTGTGTGTCCCTCCCGGTTCCCTCGTAAGATCTGGCGATGTTGGACCTACCCCAACAGGGATAGGTCCTCCATACGAACCAAACCAGTTTTGTGGCTTACACACACAATACATTTTTGTTTTCTATGGTATACGGGTGTGTGAGTATGTAAGTGTTGTTTTCTGTTTGTTGGTGTTTGCTTTAGTTTTTTAGGTTTTGCAGGACTGTCATCGGATCACAGCGGAAGGGTTGGTATTTAGTATGATTTTTGAGTAGCATATATGTTATGCCGAGCAGCGTGTGTTTTTGGAACCCATTGCTCTGGAGGGTGTGGATTGTTTGCTTAATTTCTTCTGCTGCATGGGTGGGGTCAGATTCGATCGTCATGATAGTGATGATTTGTGGTATGAGTAGGTTTAATGATTGTTGCGTTGGTCTGTTAGAATTAGCCTGGATGAATCGTGTGATTGGGAAGTTAAGTTCTTTTCTTGTGTCATATTTGGTTGTTGTGTATTGGCCAGTAAGCGGATTTGTGACTGTGATGGTGGTGTTTAGGAAATTAGTTTTGATTCCTATAGGAAGGTTATTGATAAGTGTTTTATGTTTTGTCTGTTCATTTAGAGGTATCAGTTTGAGGGGGTGTAGGTAAAATTTGTTGCGAGAACTAGATATTTCAGGGTGGATAAATTCTCTAATTCGGGGATTGTTGATGTTGTGGAAGTCGTCGAAATATCGGAAGACGTGTTGGAAAAGTTGTAGGGGGTGTCTGTTGCATTTGTGTGTGATTTTTCTCATAAATTTATATTCATATTTGAAAAAATAAATGTTACACCAGACACGGGAGCAACTTACCCCCATTGGTGTGCCTAAAATCTGCCTCCAGATATTGTTTTCGAGGGAGGTGTAGGCGTTATTGATTAGCCAGTTGTTGATTTCTTTTACGATGTGGTCGTTAATAGTTAGGTAGCCATTGGGTGGGTTTACGTGTCAGTCGAAGGTGGGGATCCAGTGCTCTTCGTTTCTGTAGAATCTGCTGGCACGTTGGACGTTATTTGCGTGTGTTTTCTTGACTTGCTTGAAGGCAATTTTGTTGACGAATTTGATGGTTGTTGGTAGATCATTTTCGTTGTTATCTGTAGGGATCGTTTCGTATCAGCGTGTTATGTCTGCCGAAAAAACCGACGTAATTTCCTCAGGGAGGTTATATGTGTAGTCAGGTGTTGAATCGATGCGCCACCAGTAGGGCACCCTTAAGCCAGTGTCCTCTATGGTTTGTGCAGTGAGCTCCCCACAGTGCGTTTTGACCATGCGTATTAAGGCTTTGAGTATAGCAGCTGCCGCGTCTGCAAGTGGAGACAAAATCACATCTGCAGCGTTAGTTAGCCATTGGAAGGAGTTTTTATGGTTTTTGTACGTGGTGAATAGGTACGGCAGTTTCATTTTTCCAATCGGAATGTCTGGGAACTTGGAGGTTAGTTGTTCTTCGATATTTTGGAGGAGGTCTAAGGCGTTGATTGTGCAGAGTTCAAAGTCTGGGCTAGACAGTCGTTGTAGTGCAAGGTACCTGATCAAGTTTATGCATGTGATGACGGGGGTGTTGGGCGCCTTATCAGCTCCTGAGATGTAGAAGTGTTTGTTTAGGAAATTTATTTCGTGTTTGATTGCATGATCTCGGAGGTTAGGTGCTTTGTGTGGTTGGATATTTTTGAGGTGGTTAGCAATGATATTGTGGAAGTCATTTTTCGCTTCAGTTTCTTGTTCAATGTTAAGGGGTGTATCATGCTTCATGAGAGCGTGCATGAGGAGTACCCAGACCTGTTGTGTAGCAACAGTGATGTTCTGTGCCTTGGGTGTAGCAGGAGGTATATGGTTGAGACCTTTCTTTAGCAGGTTCTTAAGTTCCTCATTGCCGATGATTTGCAGGTCAAGGGTAGTGACATGGGTTGGTTCTTGTTGGGGTAGGAGATCAGCAGGTAGAGTGTTGGTGAATTCGTTGTACCTTGGCAGGTGGCAGAAGCATCTTTCCGGAATCTGTTTCAGTCATTCTGTGAGGTTGAAGTCACAGAAAACTGCAGTTGGTTTGTATAGTGTTTTAGCGATGTGATCATTGTAGGTCCAAGAGAAGGTGAATTTTTCGAGTGTGGGCAGGGCGTTGGGGTTGTACTTAAGGAGGATGTTTCTAAAAATATTTTTTAACTTAAACCGTTCCATAAGGCGGTTGGTGTAGTGGCAAGGGATCACATGTTTTTCAAGGTCTTTCCTAGATCTCCATCCGAGCCTTCCGTCTTCCATGATCTGTAATCGATGTTCCTGCACATACAAGTGGTTACCATGGGGTGAGCAAGATTTAGTAGGGAGCAAACAGGCAGTTTTTAGGAAAGAGAGGTTGCAGTTTGATTGAATCTGCATGAGTCGGTCAACAGGATGTAGCCATGTGGCCTTTTTGTTGTGGGTTGTTGTGGCGGAAACTAAATAAGAGAGGTGTATGTGGGGGTGGTAGGGCGAGAGTCACAACGGTTTTTTTAAGAAACGTATGTAGAGAAGGCAATATTGCGGCAGTCAAGAGTTATTGCAAAAAAAACCGTATAGTTCCAATATGTTCTCTCTCTTAAATCCTAGCATCTCCTGCCGGATAAACTTATTGTCAATTCGTAAAAAAACCTCTATTATAAGAAGAATCACTGATCATTGTGAGAGCTAGGGAATATACCAAGTTTTTTTGGAGACATTCAACATGTAAAAACAAACAATGGGATGAGGCCGGGGACGTCACAATTCGACCTAGAGTTTTCCTATCAGCCTCAACCAGTTTCGCTTACGAGCAGGCGCTCCAAGACTCACTCGCTACTTTAAAGTTTGTCACGTTTAGCAAGTCTGCTGCTGGAAACCGGGTCCAGCGTCCCATGATAGCAACCAACACCGTTCCAAAATTAAGCCTTAAAGCCCAAAACTGTCAACTAACTGTTTTTATGTTGTTGAAAAAAAGTTGCATCTGCTTTGCAGTCCCTTCCCTTGGTTGGCTTGCCTCTTTCGGTGGGGAGAGTGGAGCAGGCATATTGCACTCTTATTCAGGGGTCTGATGTCTAGTGGTGCTCTCGTGTCAGTCTGTTATAACGACATGTTCGTGTGTTTGTGGTGGGGCATCGAGTCTGTTCTATTGGACAGAATCCTGCGGTTGTCATCATAATTGTATCAATGGTTAATTTCTATC